GTACACACGTTATCTTTGCCCAGTTGCATTTCATGGAGTTATGACGGCTCTTATTGTTACAGTGCGCCAATGGCAGAATAGAGAGTTGATAATTTGAGTTAAATATTCCATTTTTGAATTTCTTTGACAGAATCAAGAAATTATTTGCCTACCAGAACCGATAACTTGTTCTTCTAAAGCTTCACATTAACGGTACTGTTTTGTGAACGGTCTGGCACAGGTTTGCGTTAGAGAGGTCTCCATCCCATATCTGCATAGAACGACGCCTTCTAGTGTATCATGCTGGTGTTGGAAAAAGTGAATTTTTGCTCTACGTTCGACACTTACGACTTATAAATCTTCAGGTCAGATCCACGAATGCGCAACCTTAAGAGTCGTCCCCCGGAATATCTAAGGAAAAAAAGGGTTAGATCGAACATTAGTCTGAAACCGACAGGCATCACTGCACCATCCACCGTTTCGTAACTCGAACTCCTGAAAGTAACTCATTACTATACAGCAGATTTGCTATCCCATAAAATTCATCCGAAATTCTGAAATATGTGCGTAATTCGAAAAAAACTGCATAAAATAGTTTTTTCAGATTACTTATCATAAAACTTAATCCAACTATATTTTAGTCACTTCAGGCTTTTGAAAGAGCCTCTTTCCTGCCCTTTGCAAAATTAGAGTCTGAAAAAATGACTGTTCAAATAGTATGCGCTTTCTCATTAATTTTCGATGCCCTTCTAAATTTAAATAACGATTGTAGAAAATCGGCATGAAAATACTCTTTCTTATACCAATTTGGTATCAAATTACGTCTTTCTGAAGTTTTAAATTTGAAGCAGGGATATCCGTCTGTTTTAAAAAGCTTTATAATTATGTTATTTTCCACGATAGTGAAAAATCCACTCATAAAGCATTGCATCCACCAATTTCGTTAAAGTACAGTATGGCGAGTGCTGCATCCAGAATGCCTAAGTTTTTAAAAGTTTGATCTTTACTCGCATACCAGCGTGAACGGACTTACGAAAACTTAGAAATAATAATAAAAAAACATTAGGCATATTTAATACTTAAAAGAAGTATAGGAAATACCAAGTGTCTGGTAAGAAAAATAAAATTTAATCAACAAACTCTAGGTTTCAGAGACGTCAAAATTTTTTTTAATAAATTGAAATCTTTTCTTAATTTGAATACCTAACCACTTTGTTTGTATAAAAATAAAAAAATGGAAAACTTAATAGCATCCTTTAAATTCCGGCATATTTTCGAGCCTTTTCAGTGTCTTTATGTGTTTGTCCATCATTCGAGATTCTTTCGACGTTTAAATCAAAAACTCAAAATTTTGATATACATCAAGAGCATTTACGGAAAAAATGAGTTTTGGATATTAGTTTTTATGAAGATGGCCATGTGGACCATTTTTAGAAATGCCTCAAAACAGCAAATCACGTTTTCGAGCTGAAAGAACGTCCTAAAAATATCTCTGATATTTTCAGTCCTAAGATTACTAAAAAAACTTTCTATAATAGGTTATCTATTTAAAAAGCGCTGTAATTAGATATTCAGCTGATGAATTTTGTGTGTATTGACTTCGTTTAACGTAAAGTAAAACTAAAAATGGAAAGTTTTTACAAGTTTTTAATTTGCCCGAAGATAAATGATTCCATTTGACTGAAAATGGAAGAACTCACTTTTCTCCTTATACTGGATTGTTTTTCGCCATTGTGGATTACTTCCAGGCTCTATTCTAAGTTCGCGAATGCAAAAAACTATGGCCATATCTATAATAAGATATTTCTATAATTATTATTCTTCTGTCTGCTCCGTTTCTAAATAACGCATAAGCGGGAAGTATACTGTGCGATGAAATATATTTCTAAATGACTTACATTTAATAAGGCCTATTTAACATTACCTTCACGGTAACATATATGGACGCTTTCCTTATCTGCCATCTAGGCGATGCGGTAAAAAAATGAGATGAAAACGTTTTTGTTACTGCATTTTGTGGAAAAAAACTTATAAGGTTAGCTAAACGTAATTTTTATAACATAAATCGTTCTTTTTTTCTGAAACTAAATACAATTCCGTAAACTTGACCTCACTTGCATTTGAACAATTTCGGACAAAAGTTTTCGGTTCTGGAAGGAATATTTTTAAATTTTTTAAACTTATTTTTGAATTCTTCCATAGAATAATGCATATTGATAAAACGGTTGGTTCTGTCGTTCTTAATAGCATAGAAAATTCCTTCGATATGAGATGACTCCAAATTTCGCCAAAATTAATGTCATTTCCCTGATTAAGCTTAACTGAAAGGGCGCTTGTCCTAACTAAAACGCTTTCGCAGCATTAGATCCGCTCAGAGGATCAAAATAACATGAGTAAATATATGCTCAACTACTAAGTTGAATTTTGCCATGACTTCTGCATGCAGCACTTGCCATACTCTTTAAGCCATGGCCCACGTCCACTGCAAAATTTTAAGAGCAGTATGCTACCTTCTACTCAGAACGCAAAGAACTATATAATTTTCCTTGGATGTAATGTGCACAGCACGTCGTTTGGATACCCTGAATGCCAGTGTAACGGCAGGTCGGGTTCAGAATTATTCGGCATTTAAAAACATTTTTTCAAACCGAAAGATGCCTTTTCATCAAGCATAACATTTGATAAAGGCGGAGGTGGCCACCAAATAAGCAGACGAAAGAATACCTTTCGGACATCGTTTCTATAAAAGCTCCCTGAATTTATAAGGACTTTAAAAGTCAGTGAAAAAAATGCGTACTCCTTTTCTAATCATTTATGAGGAGACTACTCGTTCAAAAGCTCGCATCCTGACGTGAATGAAATATATGGGGGTTTAGTTGCAAAATAATTAATATTACAACGCTATTGGAGTAATTCGTTCTAATCGAAAACACGTTTTAGAATTTGAGTTAGTATTTAATGAGTTAGCTTATCTCCTGTAATCCGAACTTCAATTGCAAATCCTCTACTGCCCAAATTAGGTACATTTTCAGCATGAAAAATGGCTACAACATTTTAGACACATATGCCGTCGTTGGGGCGTACGTGCAAGCATGTATCAGACAGTGACACAGTGTCACAGCAGACGCTGGGAATGGGATCGCTACATCTCCTCCTCCTCCTCCTTAACTAAAGTAGGTTGTTCGGGTACTGTGATGGATGTTGTATGCCTGTCAAACTTGAACGAAGGAGTGTGGCGATGGATTTGTGTCTCAGAAGGCTTCCTGAAACTGGCGCGGTTAGACTCCGAGTTTAGACAAACGGTAAGCAACTTTAACATACGTTCAAGCTTACAACGCATATCAACAGCGTCGACCTGCTGGGAATAAAGTAGACGTGCATGGATCTTTCGTAGCAGCTTCTCCGAAAGGCATATAAAAACTAAAAGCTATTGAGAATTTCACTGCGCATATTCCACATCCATAGATATTGGGCGACTTCATGCTAGCAGCTCTAAAATCTCGCCGTTTCCCTTTGATTTTGCAGGCCTCAGGCGGAGAGAAAGCATACGACTAAAAATTCATCTGTCAGGTTCCGCGTTGGAACGGTGGTCCTGGACGTAAAATCTAAATCAAAATTTTATGAGATTAGAAAGCCTGCGTCAATTTGACTGGGGCCCAAGAGTGCTGTTCACCAGACTCATCACATTCGCTTGACGGCCAAAACATGACCTGGACCACGTGCAACCCTCGACAATCTCCCTGAAATGCATATTGTTGATTGTTTTTTTACACATCCACTTAGGGGAATTCCTCCACGTCGTTTGCCATCAGATGAGCATAATTTAGGCTTTTGCATTCGTTTCTGGTGAACACATGATGACATACAAATACAAAGTCCACAAGTTTCCTTGAGAATAGCAAAATTGTTTGAGGAGCACTGCTTTCACATCTGACCTTGGTGTTTGAAATAACTGCACTCCACAAATAACCGATAGGCTTTTGAACACCCACAGCTAAAATGGGACAATTTCTTCACATCTAGAGTAAATCATTAGCCGTCATCCAACAGACAGAGAGAGCATTCACAGGCGAATATTATCGCACCAGTAATCAAATCCTCGAATTGCTAATTGCTCTTTTAGGACTTCGAAAAACTTCCTCTACACGTTTTTACAGTTTAGTCTTCCAAGGGAATTCCTAAACTACTTCAGGCATGTTGCTCTTTTGCAGGACGTAAGCCTAGCCAAGTCGACCATCTTTTTTAAGACAAATCCTTATTGGCTTTCTGGTAATCCATGAACTCATTCGCACAGGCAGGCCGTAAATATGAGGTGAGTCTTTGCAAAGAAGTATTGGCTGCGTATATATTTGTCTATATCCTTTCCTATGGTATTTATTGTTGAATTTACGAAATGTGGTCTTGCTTTTAGGATATAATCTGACTATGAGATGGATATAAACTGAGACAGATGTTCCATGCAAAGGTGGCACTAATCGTCTGTCAGAAAAACAATATCACCCTCGACTTCTAACCGGCTACGATTACGACGTCAACCCTTTGTTGCATGCATCCATCTAACTGCTACAGCTCCGTAAAAGGGGCCCCAACTCGAACCACCATAGTACCTTAAACCTAAGAGGCACCAAATTAGTGAATGTTGGATCAAAAAAACACATCGTGGCAAAACGCACAAAAAGCCTGACCGGCCATAGTGTCTGACCTCATTTCGGGTCATCTTGATCTCATTTTGCCAATCTATCATAATGAATGCAGGAGGAGGTGGGCCGTAGTCACTTCGAAATAAATCCCTCACGACATAATTTAAATCACCTGCGAGCCCCCAATTCCATAGTAGGCAATGATCTATACTGAAATTAAAGGGTGAATTATCATATGTATGTATTTTGAACCTACTCCTAATCCACTGACGGGGCGGCAGCAGTAAGATTTTAGACTTGTCACTTGGGATTGAGATCCAGTGATGGACGCGATCTGGGGGCTGTCTGGATGCCAATTTCTGATTTAATAGGACACACCAGATGCTCTATGATTCCATCCCTGATTTACTTTCATTTTTGCATGGCATTTTCAGTGATGCCCCTACCGCTGTGATCCATAACCCGCACGTACACCGAAGTCAGCGTGACGAGTTGCAGCTGCGACAACGCGTACTCATGGAAGCCGTCACAATAGTTTCCGGTTGGATGTACGAGGAGCCCTGCTTCATTGATCCCTCTGTCTACGGGGAGGGTAACGCCCGTCACATCGATGAGGTGCGACAGCGTCTGCGAGCCTTCAAGGCCGGCATTAGCAGCTCTGTCATGGAGCAGCTAGCGGCTGCTGCTCGACGTGTTGAGGAGAGAATCGCGCCACCGGTGTTACCTGCTACTACTACTGCTGCTGTTGACACAGTACGGGTTCCCTCCCGCGGTGAACCCAGTACGCCCTCGACGTTGGCAGTGGCGACGCTTACTTCCTCTGGCCGACAGCCGAGGCCGCACAGCACGTTAAATCTACCTGCCTCGGGATCCGCTCGTGTCTGCACACCACAAGGATCAATTTATGCTGGAGGCCCGACAAGCAAACCCAATACAAAAAACTATACACCGCATGGCTCCAATGTAAGCCGTCCAGTATTGATGATAATACGAAAAAGGACTGATAACTGGTCACAGATCAGAATTGGACATCCAGTCAGCGGCCGATCTCATGAACTGTTAACCAAACTGCTGAAATGCGTTTTCGATTAGGAACTATTGCTTAAGTTGAATCGAAAGTTTAATTATTGTGCCGCATTATCGTAAAATGCTTCAGACATGCAGGTATGCCTCCATATGAATGCACTTTATTTCTGCGACCTGCCGTAAATGCGATCGTTAAAAAAGCACTTACTTAAGCGGTATGAATTTGTTCTGTGTTCTGATAAATGCAGATAAATCCTGTTGAAAACATACACAAAAATAATCCGTCTCGTAATGATGTGGCAGCAAGTCACATCTTCTTCAATCTTTATGCCCAAAGGAAGGTAACTTTAAGGTTAAATTTTTTTTCCGATTTCCGGATAGTTTTAAACTTTATCAGCCGTTGTATTTGCCTTTAGGGTTTAGTCTTTAGACTGTCCTTGTCCTATAAGGATGCGCGCACACCCCTGTGTCATTAAAAAGAACCATAAAATTTAGCAATGGATGTGAACCATACTCTAAGGCAGACTACGTCTTTTGTGTTTTATTATTTGGAAAAAGCGATGTGTTCCCACTTAAAAAATAATCCGCCATCTATAAAAGTTTCAGATGTTTGCTCGAATACGAGACCCTGCTCTTCTGTACAAAGCCGATCAATTAATCACTTATTTTATACATCCCAGGATGTTAACAAAAATAGGTGAAAAAGTGTATATAGTGAATATGATTACTAATTACTTTGACAAACTAAAGAAGGTTTAAAAATAGTTTATATTCCAAAACATGTGACCTGCTGAAATTTCTAGCGACTGATAGATTTCATTCCTTCAAGAACCGCATTATTGACCAGAGGTACATTTTCGCCAAGACATGCGTGACGTTGAGTAACATTTGAAAAAAACGTTTTCACGCGTACCTGCAAACCGTATTTTCACGGGGACTTTGCATAATATAAGCATATATTAGAATTTAGATTTAAGGTGTTATTAGAAAATTAAATAAGCAGCTACAACCATTTTAGGGGTGTATCAAGTATTCGCGAATTTTTAGTTACTGATTGTGGTACCTGATCCCCGCAAATACCGGGGGTCGACTATATTTCATAGATTTTCAGTGGATGTTTCGTGCGCCTTGGTATACACTTAATATGAGAAAGTAACGTTAACCTCTTTCAAAATACATCAGAAAAAGGATATCCAAGCTCTGCTGAAAAATACTGCAAATCTATATAAAAAGGTCTCCAGGGGATCACGCATTCCAGAGACACTCTGTGGCGTCTGTCCATAATATTTGGTCGTTGGGCAGCTGCGACTGGTCTTCTGGATAGATACGTGTACGAAATGATAATAATGCTTGCTTCCTGGATTATACCACCCACAGCATGGGCATGCTGACCGCACTTTGAGCAATGGAGGGCACTTTGACATAGCCAGTATTTCCAAGGCATCCTGCAAGCTCTCGGCCCCATCCGTCCACACCCACCTTCTTAGTCCAGCCCTGAGTGTAAGGCGCACAGTTGTCTACTTTACTGCAGAGCAGGCGCGCCACATATCACCTAGCCTGCACCATCTGACTGAGGGCTTTTCATCGGGACCTGAGGGGCCTTGGCTGCCTGCTCACGTGGGGTCCAACGAGGTAGAAGACCGTGGACCCATTGTCAGGACCCATCAGCGGGAACAGACAGTCAGGGAACTTGAGGACTTCTACGGTGGTAACGGGGATTATCACCCGCACAGTCATCACTGCCATCACCGTCACCGCGTCCCCGCGCAATTCTGCGAATCGGAGCAAAGGAACCGCGTCCTCCACCACGATAAAGGGTATAATGCCCGCGCTCCCGATGTTGACTTGGATAACAGCCTCTTAAATTACCAAGGGGCACTCGTTCGTCCGCCAGGAGCGCTGCCACCCACACCCAGAGACCGCCAGAGTCCAGAAGCGGTGTCTACCATCTCCACTATTCGGCATCCAATTTGGGATACCCCGGATGTTCTGAAAACTTCCACCCGGTACCTCTCTTTGGACCTCTGAGTAATTCCTCCCCAGTTCTACTTTTCGCTTGTTTATATTGTTTGCAAACGTGATTATTTGAAAAGCATTTTTCTCAAGAGGTTGTTTACATCCGTTTTGACGTTGTTAATGACTTTGTTATTCTCTTCAGTCTGCCTTGCACTCAGTAATACAGAAATACGGATATTTCTACAAATTTCTATAAACGGTTCATGGTGTTTTTTGCATAACATACGTTCATGTGCCAAAGTGGGCTTTGGAATATCATTTCAGTGCAAATCTGAGGGTTGATGACTGTTTTCAAAGGCGTTACGGAAAGTATGTCCGAATACAGTCGTCCAACAAGCCAAAAAAGGGCCTGTTCCAGACCGGTACTAATTATGCTCCTTCTGCCAACCACCTCTTATAAACTTTCGAGGGAAAACTTGCCTCTCCCAAATCATCGTGCTGCATCACTAGATTGAAACGATAATTAACTGACGCTTCCTCGTACGTCAATACTGTCAAACGAACTGCGGTAGAAAAAGTACTATACCGTAAAAGGCCCCTAAACCATCAAAGCAAAACGAATTATGAAAATTTAGACCTAGATGAAAACTTCGTGCAAAACAAATGGGATAGGCGAAATGAGGGAAAGATCTTAAAATTATGTCAGATCGAATTTTTTTCAAACACCCAGCTAGTCAACATTCCACTCCGTAGTTTAAATCATCACTCTGGGGGAACTTACTGCCAACTGACCAAACATGCTCTAGTTACGAAGGCGAGGTCGATAATACAAGTATTCAGAGTTTAGGGGAAAGTGCGTTTCACAGTAGGTTATTTCTGTAAGGGTGCTTAAATTTATTTCATCACTATTGAATAACACACAATAGGATACCTTAGCATGTAAGGAATCACAAACACGAACAAATACTTCGTTTGATCTTTGAGTGCAGTCTCGTTTAAAATTATTCTCAATCTGGCGAATTTTTTTCGGGTTCGTAGCATAGACTTTAATGTTTAGTGATCCCCCAGCGGAAACCAAGAGGTGTGAGGTCGGATGAATGAGGAGGATATTCTCCGAGACCCTTCGTTCAATCGACCGGTTGGGCGAGATGGTAGTATAGAACTGCTCCGTATTTCTGATAATGAAATTCCTCCTTTCCAATAACCTCTTATTTTAACAGGATAGACTATCGCAATAATTTAGAACAAATTGGGGCAGTCAAGTATCATCAGAAAAAAATTTCTAGTTATTCCTCTTGACGATAAGCCACTCCTGATAAATCAACATGCTACTCCACCATACCACGCAGACTGGCCCCCAGTAGGTGCAAATGTGACGATTATATGAGCTATAGAATTTATTCGTAGCCTCCTCATTCCATGCAATCCTTGTAGGAAAATATATCTCTTCTACATATCTTGCTGAGCTTAGTTCGCAATATTCTTATCCTCTATCCGGCTCACTTTCACTATTTAATTTTAAAATACAACATCCCCCATGGCAGTGCTTCAAACTACAATGGTCAAACTATTCCGAAACTCTTTCGTCCCAACTCGCCCTCCGGACAGATATTCCCGGACTTCGGTTATACGTCTTCAGAATCTTTGCTTGCTTTCTGGGGCTCATCGACGTCTGTGGTCTAAATATTCTGCTGGATGTCCTGAATAGTCTTATTGGCGTCAGTTTAACATATAACTACAGCGATAATACAGTACGCGCCAGAATTCATTCAACATGCCGACATATACGAAAGATTGATGCTTTTTCGCCAATCGGCATTGACTCACGCTGTGATACTGATTATCGTATGTATAGTCTATTCCGAAGTTATTTCAGTCATGATAAGATGCGGGCTTTTTATCGAACTTCGTTCTGACCACTAACAAAACACATGTACGGGAAAAAGTGACTACTTAAACAGTATGCGTTTTTATCATTGATTTTGACTTCCTTTATAAATTCAAATATATTTTATGAAAAACATGCACGAAAAATCATTTCTTGTACTCGTTTGGTAGCAAATTACGCCTTCTTTAAATTTTATACGTAAAGGAAGGGTATCTTTCGGTTTTAAAAAGGTTTCTATTACTATTCCACAGAACCGACATAGAGAATTGTAGTTTGCACAACCCCTCCGGCTGATTTTTCCTGCCAGTCGACTTTTTTGCATATGAAAGGCAAGCGCGAGGATTGTGAGATGACAAGGAGATAGCAACCGTTCAGCCAACCCTATTAATTGTATACTGAATCCAAAAAGTCTTGTGCCCAGCCTCTCTAAACTCGGTGCGAGTAAAACTGGGAAGTGATCCGCAGTAAGGTAAATCACTAACCGCGAGGAACACGTATCCAGCCGATTACGATGGCCAATGTGCGCCGACTACCATTATCCAGAATTAGGGGGAACCACAGCAGACGCGTCTTCGAACCGCGTTCCCACC